TAAAGTTTTTCAGTCAGCTTTAATTGTTAATAGGATAACAATATCAAAGAGAAGAATAAATGAAAGTAATGATAAGTATAGTGTAAAAATCTATTTTTATATAAATAATTACCATATTTAATAAAATAGCAAGGGGTAAATTATCTTATATAGAAAATTACAAAAAATTTACCAGTATTACTAAAGAATGTTCAATTAAAAACCACAAAAATTCTTTGTTATAATGAAAAAAAAATTCGTTGTAAAAAAATCTGTTATACCAAATGGCATATTTATATAAGCAATTCACACACTTTACTTTGTATTACATTATACAATAAATAAATAGTAGACTTTGTTATACCAAGGTTTTTTTTATATTTAAAATTGGTACTACATTGGATGATCTGTTATATTATATTATTCATTATATCGAGGTTCGTTGTAGAAAGAGGAGATTGTAATTACACTGTAACAATTTACTGGTATTATCAAAATAATTATTTTGAAATTGTTAATTATATTTGAAAAGTTTCAGTAAGGAATGACTAACAGGGCGAATATGCTTATTATCACTTTACCGATTATTTGCTGATCATATATATATTGATTATCACGTTTATTTTGAAGCTCCAAGCAAAATCATATTTGCTATAGTGCCGGAAGTCTTAACTCGACAATCACGTGATTTTATTTCAATTTTTTTGGAACCGACCCTTAATCACGTGTTTGGAAATCAGCCAATAAAAATCTGAGATTTTTGATAAATTTTCACACTGACGGCTTATCGGTACCATGATATATCACTGCAAAAAATGTTAACTGAAAAAAAGTGTTACGCATTTTATTTTATTTCATTTTAAATAACATTTTTCAGTAATGCAAAGCCAGCAATTAAGTATGTAAAGTATGTATCACTTACAGATTATCTAAATCATCCATTATTCTTTCAATATTGTCAGGTAACTGATGATATGACTTATATTTGCTAATAGCCTATTCAGCGGTCCTACCTTCTAACCCTTTATTGTATGCATCCATATATCTCCATGATTTGCATGCAAATTTACAAATAGTTGTTACAGAAACACAAATAAGAACTTCTGGAACCTGTAACAATAAGTCATTATAATTACAATTGCATAACCGTCTTATTTCCCGTTTTGCAAAACCCTAATATTGTTCTATGAAGTTACACTCACAATGAAATTTTGGGTAACGTTCAAAAATATGTCCTGCTTTAATTATTACCTCTTCCAATATTGACCGTTATTCACAAAAATCTGGTTGCAGTGACATTATTCTTCATGCATAACAATCTAGCCTTTCTGAATCAATATCATCTTGTTTTCCAGAACATTACTCACACATCAAACGTATACCCTTCTCTGGCCAAATATTACACTCTGTAAGCACCTGCTTGATACCTTTCAGCTTTTCTTTTAGTTTATGATTGTCTGGAAATACCATCGAATGTACAAGTTTCTCTTCATTTTCATTGATGTACCAACCATCACGCATTTTGGATTGTGCTCCTCTAGAACTCAAATTCATTCTTACCGCAATTAGTGCATCAGCTGCTATTAAAGATGGTCATCGGTCCTAAAAGACCACGGTCTCGCAGTCCTACACCTTAAAAAGACAGACTGGTCCATCTTAATGTAGGACCGCGGTCTTTCAGTCTTGTAACACTTACAATAAGACCTACGGTCTTTTTAAGGACTGCAGTCTTTTTAAGACCGATTAGTCTTTTTTTTTTTTTCTGCAAATAAAAAATTTTCTATTACTTTACTAGNTTTTTTCTGCAAATAAAAAATTTTCTATTACTTTACTAGGAACAGTCTTCCTTTATAAATGAACACTAATTGTATAAATTTATAGGAACCATTCCAGACGTATATTATAAGCAAATAATATGTATAAAGACGGATTTACTATATTTTATTAACGTTAATTTTCTTTTTTACCTTGGAGACAGGGAGACAGTCTTTTCTAGAAGTTTCAATATGCATGTAATAACTTTTATATAAAGACCGATACAAAGACCAGGTCAGTCTCAGGACCGGTCCTACTGCGCCAAGAAAAAATGAAAGACCGCGGTCTGGTCCTACAAGTCCTGGAACTGACCAGTCCAGGACCGAGTAGGACCTGTAGGACCGATAACCATCTTTAGCTGCCATTGCATTATAGTTCGTAGATTGGTCAAAACAAAATAAACCAACACAACTAGGGTGCAATATCTCAAAAATCGGAATAGCTTGATGCATGAGCTAATTTTTGTAAAAGAGATTTGTTATCATATTTCCTAATTTTAGATCTATAAATTTTTGATCTACCTGATCCAGCATATGCTCCGATTTCCAATATCCATCTGTTTGTACTGAATGAAGAATAAAAGCTTCTTTACTTTTAATGTGTAGATTTTCCTGCATTTGTTCATCAGATAATTGTAGCAACTTGTAGCATGGATAAAGAAAGGCAGAAACCATAATAGAACGTCCTTGGTGTTTTGAGCGTAGGATATCTTCATCTTCTCTCATCCAGATTCTTTGCTATCCATCATTTGCGTAAAAATGGCATTCATCATACATTATCTGAACCAATTCTTTATCTCCTGGCTTAAGTTGGGGTTCTGAAACTATATTCATCATATCACTATTAAAATCTTTCATTAACCTTTGATATTTAAACATCCTCTTCAACCATTTCTTTCTGTATTTCACTACATCTGGTCGCTCATGCCCATTATAATAACCCCCTTTTTTTCTTTCATCATACTTATATCCCCACAAATACATGTAGTTTCGGCATATTTTCTCAGAAATTGTATCTTTTTTGATATGGCCCGTTAATTTAGGAAATACCATTCCTTCAATATATACTTTCAGGTTTCCAGGGGTATGTGACTCTGGTTTTTGTTGTCATAACCATGCTTGATATTCTTCCTTAAAGTCCTCATCATTTAGCAAACTTTCTAGTTTCGTATGTTTCCCTTGATGATGGATAAGAAACTCTTCCGTTTTTATAAAATGATCTCCCCATTTTCGAATACATCTTGCAATATAATCACCTTTGCTCTATACAGTTTGTGCAATCTGATTACTGGCATCCATTTTACCCTAACCATTTAATAATAACTGTATATATCTGCGTATACTTAGATGGTGTAAATAGTTATAGGTAAAAACATTTTTATTCATTTTTACATTTTTTGTTACTGTGCATTGCTGATTTATTTCATCTAGACGTATCTGTAGATTTCTTGTAATCTCTTTGGAAATTAAAGAAGAATTTGATGTAGTTTCAAAAGATAAAAATGGAGATGGGGATAGAGATTGTGGTTTTAATGATTGTGGTAAGGGCATATTAATTGATTTTTCAGTACTTCTAAATAATGTATCAAGAGTTCTCATTCCTTTTGCATCACGCGCTAACTCTTCCTTTTTTTTTGTGTTCCTCCAGATTGTGGTTCTTAAAGTTTTATTGTATGCTGTTCTGATACTACTTGTAGCTTTCTCATGCCAACAAAGAACTTCAGTAATAAGCTTTTTTTCCACTTTCTCAAACTCTTTCAAATCTTTTGTCAAATCATTATTTATCTCATCCTCTATCTGGTCTTCAACAATTTCACCTTCTGCCCACTTGTTAATATTCTTATTATCCATCCATTTTTCACCTTCAACAGTCTCTATCTCGGTTTCTCTGGATATGTAACATCCTTTTTTTCTAAGTATTTTGTTAACTTGCAGTTGCCTTTTTGTTTTACGTGGCATTTAAAAAAATGGTTAGTTTATTCAAATAAAACATTTTTATTTACATGTGAAAATCTAAAAATTTTCTCATGATCACTTGTTTCTCTCGTGAAAAATTGATTATGATAATCGGGCTGGCATCAAATTATCATAATTTCAGCTCAAATTATGATGATCTTCAGCCAATAAAATTGCATTCACATGATAAAAAATTTGTTTCAAATTCAGACAAATAATATGAAAATCACTGAAGTTTAAATACTTATAACTCTTTATGTAAGCATTTTTTTAAAAATCGGATCAGTAATTTGATAGATTTCACTTTGGTGAATAAGATTACCAGTTTATTTTTTTTGAATTCATATTATTTTTTAATGTTAAAAATTTTCCAAGTATTACAATTTTATTGTCTAGTTAAGACCTCTGGCTAAACATGGGGCCCGAAACTGAAACTTTCTGAAACCCTTTAGGTTTAGGTATATACCAAAACTTAGTTTTAGGATGGGTGTTTTTTTCCCAAAACTTGAAACCCGAAACTGACCTGAAATTCCCAAAACTTTTATATACCGAAATATAATCGAAACCTATTAATTTACTTAATTAATTTTTATTAAAATAACTAAAATTATAACAATATTGAATTACTATCTGACATTTTATTAAAAAGACTTCTTAATTAAGTCTAAACAGGACCCCGAGCAATCACTAGTCGAAATAGTCCAATTCGGCCAGATTTCGTATAGGCAAATTTGGCCCGAATTATGGCTAAAATTCGGCCAAAATTAGACGAATCTCTTAACCGAAAGTTTTTATCGAGTGTTACCATTCAGACTGCCACTCGTCTAAATTTTAGCTAAACTTCGGTAGATTTTGATCTACCATTCATATGACTTTCAGAATAAAAAATCGTATAACTTTCAGATAACATTCATTATAACGAATACTTAACATTCGGTCAGCTTTTAAACGCAATAAATTGTTATTTATTTAATAAAATATTTAATACTATATATTTAATACTAATTTATACTAATTATTATAATGTTCAATTTATATGCTACGCTAATAATAATATATTATAAGAATGTCCTATTTATATAATATAACACCTTCAAGACGACTTTCGTCATCAACTTAATTCACAACGCTAATTTTTTGATACAATAAACAAATAAAATAAAGGTTAAAGCAAAATTATACCGAAATAACATCGAACGTTAAATTTTAGCGAAATAACATCGAATGTATATAATAATTACCAACACTTTATTAAAACGTGTCAGCATCATCGTACATATAGTCATCGTATATACTCTCGTATCCTATATCAGAATCATATACGACATTACCATTTCCTGGTTCTACACATGTCCATTGTTGTGCATCGTTCGGAGGTTGGACGTCAAAATTTTGCAACGTATCGTCATAATTTCTATGTCTGGTTAGTTGTGCGTTTTGTTGTGTAAATGAATAAGGATCCAATACTTCCCTAAAAAAAGTTTTTAACTAGAAAGAAACAAGTTAGTGTAAATCTATAAATTACTATAACAAGTCGAAAGTTAGTACATACCTCCGATGATCTCCATGATCGATTATACACAACTATTTGACATTTTTCTGACGCATTTTCCTCATCCGTTTCACTCAACTCCGGTGAATGATATCTGATATCTTGAATGATATTGATCATCTCTTGTTTTTCATAGTGAGCGATTTTCACGTCGTCTTTATCATATAAAGCTTTGGCAGCTTTTAGTCGACAAATTTTTTTCTAAACGCAAAATAACATAGGTAAAACGTTTATATTTAACTAAAAACAACCAAAATTCTTACGTCATTCATCCTCCCATTTGCGTGTAGATGACGATCGTCACTATCGAGTCTTCCCTTTTTCTTGTAATTATTCCTACTTCGTCTAGATTTATGCAACGACATTAGCCATTTCGTCAACTTATCGTAGGTGGGGTTAAAATTTGGCTTTAAGCTCTTCATTAGTTCTGGTATTAATTGTTTTCTTATGTTTACGTTAGTTTTGCTCATAAACGTTTGATCATAGTCCAGGTCGAATTTGGCAGGCATAGTTTTCAAAATGGTCTTCATTTCCATCTAAATTATTAACAGTAATAAAAAATTCGGTAAATATTAGCACGAAACCATTTTTTAAAATATTACTAACCCTTGCATCTTTATCGTCCTTTTCATCCTTATCGTCCTTTTCATCCTTTTCGTCCATTTCAACATCCACGTCAATAATTTCGTCGTCCGAATCTTCACTATCATTATTCCTAACGTTGGCAAATAAAAGGTAATTAATTATACGAATAGTTATAAAACGGATAACAAAAATTTATGATACCTTTGATGTTTACGTTTAGGCTTTGAGCTTTTTTTTATGCTTCTTGGCATCTGAAGGTTCTTATAAAAATTGATTCGTTCATAAAGTCTGTCGTTCTCTTTTCCGAATTCCTCATTTATTTTTATTAGCATTTCATTTAGTTCTTTCGACTCTTCAAATTCTTTATTAAGTTTGTCTATCTTATATTGCAATTCCATATTATCGGCTCTTAATTTCCCATTTTCTATCTTCAGATCTAAAAATTGAAGGTTTTCAAATATATATCTATATATCGTAAAAACATTCGTCAATAAACAATTAAGAATCGATAATCAAAATTTACCAAAATTACTCAAATTTTTTTCCGATGATCGCAAAGTTTCGGTTGCTTCAACTCGACTTTCGTCTAGAATCATCGATTTCGGTAAATGGATTTTCGGAATTTTTACTTGTAAGCCTGCAAGCTTTGATTTAATAATATTTGACGATGATTTCGTATTGGAGAGAGAAGTTCGTGAAGCACTTGGTGATGAAGATGATTTCGTATTGGAGAGAGAAGTTCGTGAAGCACTCGGTGATGAAGATGATTTCGTATTGGAGAGAGAAGTTCGTGAAGCACTTGGTGATGAAGATGATTTCGTATTGGAGAGAGAAGTTCGTGAAGCACTTGGTGATGAAGATGATTTCGTATTGGAGAGAGAGGTTCGTGAAGCACTTGGTGATGAAGATGATTTCGTGTTGAAGGGGGATCTTAAAGTACTCGGTGATGAAGAAGATGATTTCGTGTTGAAGGGGGATCGTAAAGTTTCTGATGACGTGTTGGAGGTTCGTAAAGCAGTTTCTTCCTCATCAACATTAGGAGGGACGAGATAAAAAACATCTCTTTCGTTTCTTTCAGTTCCTTCTTTCTCTCCCTTTTTATTAATATTCTTTGATGTGTCCTTTGACATATTTGAAAAAATAGAACTTTTCTTAATTGTTAAAATAGCCAAAATTTATTTACTCTTATTAAATTTATTAAATTTGTAAAAATATATAATAAAATTTTACACGAAAGTATTTTGAAATTGTAAGAAAAAAAAAGTTAAGTTCTAGGATGAAACTTTGAAGAATCGAGTTTTTTTATAGTTTATTTATAGTTAAAAATTTGATCAAAAGCTTAATTTATACTATTAAATTCTTAAATTTGATAAGTGATTTATCGAATTTTTTATTAATAATTCAATAAGTTACTTTACGTTAAGTTGATAGAAATTCGATAAATCAATTTTAGTTGATGTGAAATTCGCCAAATCACTTAAATTTGATGAGAATTCAATACATCATTTAAAGTTGATGGAAAATTCGTAAAGTTTGATGAGAATTCAATACATCACTTAAAGTTGATGGAAAATTCGTAAAGTTTGATGAGAATTCAATACATCACTTAAAGTTGATGGAAAATTCGTAAAGTTTGATGAGAATTCAATACATCACTTAAAGTTGATGGAAAATTCGTAAAGTTTGATGAGAATTCGATAAATCACTTTAAGTTGATCGCTCAAGTTGAAAATTCGTTAGTTGAAACTTCACTAGCAACAATTATATGATAATTATTGAATCGAAACAAATTTTGATACAATTCCATAATTATCAAAATTATCTGAAATTTTTGACAAAATGGGACGAATAAGAACGATATCTAGTGTACTTGATGAAAATCCTATTACTACCAGATCAGGACCCGGATATCTAATATAAAGGTCATAATGGACTTTTGGCTAAAAACACCCCTTTTTGCTGAAACTCAAAAAATCGTTTTTTGTAAATATCTCAGCATCCAGTAATTCAATTTTAATGAACTTTTTTTTATTTTGTAGCCCTCATTTAGCTCTACAATTTAAAAAAACATTCATCAAAATTGGACCACTGGATGCCGAGATATTTACAAAAAACGATTTTTTGAGCCCCTGAAAAATGGGCCAATCTGCCGAAAGTGTGACTTATGACCTGTTTTGGAGATATCTGGGGTTCTACCAGATCACCTCGAGTTACTACTCGATCAATCGTTCAGCTAAGAATTCGTAAAGTACCCTGTTTCTGTAGCGATTGCGAAGGAATGTTAGTTGCTTTTCGCACAAAGAATCGACATGAATTATCGAGCCAACTTTCGTCAGATGTTTCAGAAGTAATTATCGAAAATACTGAAATTTGGGATAACAAACTATTCGAAGTTTTGGAAAATACTGAAAATATTAATGATGAATTATCTTAATTGACTATTTTAAATGAGCAAAGAGTTGACCGATTGCCTCTAAGACGTAGATCAAGGTACATTTTGACCAGAGTTTCCATTGGTAACATCGGTAACATCGAACAAGATTTATCACTGAGAGAAAGTACGGCCGAAGATCAAAGCGAAGATACTAATGAAGATAACGAATCGAATGGAGATAACGAATCGAATGGAAATAACGAATCGAATGGAGATGACGAATCGAATGGAGATGATGAATCAGAAAATAACAATTCTAAAACTTTTAAAGATTATTTATGCCCTTCTTTCGAACCATATCAAGACCCAGATGTCACTCCAACTCCAACTAGCGATAATAATAAGTTTTTATGGATTTTAATATGGATTATGAAATTTCGAATGAGATTTAGCATTCCAGAAACAGCAACTAAATCACTAATAAAGTTCATAAAACTGTTATTGGATGAAATTGGCGATACCGCATTTGAAAATTTTCCCGTCACTTTATACAAAGCGAGAAATATTCTCAACATAGAAGATC